GCTCTTGACCCTCTGAAGGTGTCGCTGCTGGAGGTGCCTCTTCCACCCCGTGTTTGGGGGGATGAGGGAGAGGAGGGAGGAAGGTCAGCGCTGCTCTGCATCGCAGGTCTGCTGGAGATGGGGTTTCCATGGCAACGGGAGGGTTTGGAAATGGGAACTCGTAACAGGAAACATCCTTCCCGTGCCCGCGGCCGTGCGGGCAGCTCCGGCCCCCAGGCACTGGGGTTTCCAAAGGAGTCACCGTGCGAGTTGGCCCCGTGTTTGTGCCGGTCCCGGGGCTCCCCCTGCCCCCAGCCCACGTCCTGCTCTCCCTGCAGTATCTGCACGAGAACGGAGTCGTCCACCGCGACCTGAAGCCGGAGAACCTGCTCTACGCTGACCTGTCCCCTGACGCCCCCCTGAAGATCGGTGGGTTCCCGGGAGCCCCGCGGGGGGTCCCGTGGCAGCGCGGGGGTTAACGGCCCCTCTGCGCTCCCCTCTGTGTCCCTCCAAGGTGACTTCGGGCTCTCCAAGATCGTGGATGAACAGGAGACCATGAAAACCGTCTGCGGGACGCCGGGGTACTGCGGTGAGCGGGCGGGAGGGAGCCCCGAGGCCGGGCACAGCTCGGTGCAGGGATGGCTGGCGACCCTGCCAGTGCTGGGGGGTGCTGAGGTTGCCACCGTGGCCGTGCCACCCACGTGTTCAAACCCCAAAACTCTGCTTCCAGCCCCCGAAATCCTCCACGGGTGCCCGTACGGCCCCGAGGTGGACATGTGGTCCGTGGGCGTCATCACCTACATCCTGTGAGTAGCGCTGCTGGGAGGGTGGTGGGGTCACCATGGCATGGACACGCTGTGCCCCCCCAGCCCCCCCAGTGTTCTCCCCCCTGCAGCTCCTGTCTCCTGTGCCCACAGGCTCTGTGGCTTCGAGGCCTTCTTCGACCCGCGCGGGGACCAGTTCATGTACGGCCGCATCCTTGCCTGCGACTACGAGTTCCTGTCGCCCTGGTGGGATGAGGTTTCCCCCAACGCCAAGGACCTGGTGAGAGAGCTGGCGCCGGGGCTCGGGCTGCTGAGCAGGGAGGTTAATGCTTACAGGGGTAACAAAACTGGCTGAATTTAACAAATGAAGCCTTGCCCTTGGTTACAGGTCAGAAAATTGATCGTGCTGGACCCCCAGAAGAGACTGACCGTCCACCAGGCTCTGGAGCATCCCTGGGTCACTGGGAAAGCTGCTAAATTTGCTCACATGGACAGCACGCAGAAGAAACTGCAGGAATTCAACGCCAGGCGGAAGCTGAAGGTATGTGAGGGAGCCCCACCCACCCCTGGGGGGGTTCGGGTCCCATGGCTG